TTGGGAAGGAAGATGCTGAAAGGGGGAAATCACAAGCAAATAAATAATTAAACAGTATGTTTTCATATCATGAAAAAAATGCAATAAAAAATGAAATAGGACAATGGGGAAATGAAACTTGAGTGCAAGGAACAACTTTTGCTGGAATGGTTAAGGAAGTTTTTTTTTTTGTGGCAGTTACATTTAAGGTGAGATCTAAACATGAGAAGGCAGCCATACAAATATACAGACAAGAAGATTTGTAGGCAGAAGGGACAGAAGTGCAAAGCCCTAGAAAGGGAATAACTTAGTGTGTCTTAGGAACAAAAGGAAAATCAGTGTGGCTAGTACATAGTGAAAAAGGAGAAAAAGTGGTAGGAGATGAGGTTGAGGAGGTAGGAAGGGCACAGCCAGGTAAGACCATGTTAAGTGAGGAATATGGATTTCATTCTGATTGCAATTAGAAGTCGCTGGAGGGCTTTAAGTAAGGGAATGATTTATCCCTTTAAGCAAGAGATTTGATTTATGGTCTGAGATCATCTTTCCGACTGCAGGGTGCAGAGTAGACTGTGAGCACCAAGAATGGAAGCCTACACATTAGTTAGGCTGTGATCCAGGAGAGAGGTGATGGCTGCTTAGACTAGCTCCAGAGCGGGGGAAATGGTGAGAAGTGGCAGGATTCTGAATACATTTAGAGGTAGAGCCCTTAAAACTTGCTGATGAATTGGATATTTGAGGAAAAGGAGGACTCAAGATGACTCCCTGGTTTGGGGCCTGAGTTCCCTCATGAATCATGCAGTAGTACTCTTCTAAATTGGAAAGAGTAGAAAAGGAACAGTTTTGATAGGAAAATCAAGAGTTCCACTTTCGCCAGTAGGGGATGAGATCTATGCTCTTTAGACATATTATAGTTTCTCCAGGTTCTAGCGAAACTCAAAACTAGTTACTCCTGCACTTATTCACTTAGTAAAAATGTATTATCAGGCACCGTTTTAGGTGCTGGAGCTAGCAGTGATCAAAACAGATTAAATCCCTGCCCTTGTGGGCTTATATTATAGTGAGGGAGACAGACAATAAACAAGTAAATAAGTAAATATATTTAACACAATTTCAGGTGGTAAAAGATACTGTAAAGAATATAAAGAAAAAATGTATTTAAATCACGCATGTGTTTAAAAAGTACCTTCTTTTTACAAGTGACTTGTGCTGAGTGTGACTAGCCAGAGTCTACCCTGGAAAGACCCTAACAAAAATCTAGTACATAGACAACACAAAAAGAAGCATCACAAAAAGATATTTATGAAGAACTAAGTTGAAAGCAGAACGAGATCAGTTTTGAACAGGATCATCAAATAAAGAAGAGCGAATGAAAGTTGTGGTATTTAAACTGGGCTTCAAAGGAAAGATAGAATTTAGATATATAGTAATGGCAGGGAAGAGGAGGTGTGAAGAACATTCCAAGCAGTGGGAATGGTTTAAATGGAAAATGGTTTATACTGAGAACACTGAGGAATACATTTTGGCAAAAGCATACAGCACATAAAGGGGAATGTATTAGTTATTTATTGCTGTGTAATAAACTGTGCCAAAATTTAGTGGCTTAAAACAGTAAATATTTATTATTACGGGCCGGCCCGGTGGTGCATGCGCTAGTGTGCCGCTTGGGAAGCGCGGCGGCGCTCCCGCCGAGGGTTCGGATCCCACATACAGACCGGTTCCCGCTCACTGGCTAAGCGAGGCATGGGGGCAACACCGAGGGTTGCGATCCCGTTGCCGGTCCCGGTCCGGTACAGGGGCGACACTGAGGGTTGTGATCCGTTGCCGGACACGGAAAAAGACAAAAAATATATATATATATATTTATTATTACTTATTATTGTGGATCAGGACTCCAGGCTGGGCTTACCTGGGTCCTCTGGCTAAAATAAAATATTAGCTGGGACTGCAGTCATCTCAAGGTTCAACCAGGCAGGATCTGCTACCAAGCTTACTCAGGTGACTGTTGGCAGGCCTCAGGTCCTTCCTGGTTGTTACCAGAGACATCAGTTTCTTGCCACAAGTACCTCTCTGTAGGATGGTTCTCAAGATGGCAGCTGGCTTCCCTTAAAGCAAATGAGGGAGAGAACAAGAGAAAGCCAGCAGGAGAGAGCAAGACGGAAGCCACGGTCTTTTTGTAACCTAGTCTCAGAAGTGGCATGTCATCACTTTTGCCGAATAGAAATGCATCATTAGACCCAGCCCATACTCAAGGAGAGGGGATAACAAATAGGTGTGAATACTGGGAGATGGGATTTATTGGGGGCCATTTTAGAAACTGCCTACCACAAGGAATAATAAGAGATAAGTTTGGAAATATAGGCTGGGCCACATCAAAGAAAGCCATGGAAGCCAACCAAAGAATGAAACCATTCAGTTGAAAATAGAGGGTAGAGAGAAGCAAATTTAGCGTTTAAGCCCACTATAGGCAAATTGAAATGTTGGATAAACAGAATTTTGAGGGTTATCCTAAAGACCAGCTGTTTAACAAGTTGGAAAGGGTTAACTAGTTACAGCCTCCAGGAAACAAAACCACTCTTTTTTATCAGGTAATAAATGGTCAAATAATTCTCCAAAAAGAGCTATCTACCCTCACTAAAAAGTTCTAATAACCTACCTTGACAATGCATTGCTGAAAATGCAGAATTGACAACTGTTTGTGACTTTTTCTGTCTTAGAATAGGCTGTAAGGTTCACTTTCAGTAGCTTTCAAAGTTCTTTGACCTCCAACACACAGCAAGAAATACATTTTACATCACAACTCAGAATACACATTTATACATAATCAAAATAAAAGATTTACTAAATAAGACATAATATTACTATATAAGACATACTGATCTTTTTAAAAATTCTATTCTGTTCTATTGCATTAAAGAAAATAAAAGGGCTGGTAATAATCCACTAAATTCATCACTATCCACTACTTGGTCCCATTCTGCAGTTTGAAAAATACTGTTCTTCTAGAACATTAGCTTAGAAATCAAACAAAATTGTAGCACTTTGACCAATAGGCGTTTAGTGATGTAGTTGCCCAGAAATCAGGTGAGGGCACTGTGTCTCATGCACTCTAGCCAAAGCATAACAGCAAAAACCCAAACACATTAGTCCTCAGTTGGAAGACACTTGAGTCAGATTGGCCATTGAAAAACATGAATCAAACTGGCAATGGAAAATGGAAGTTTCAACCCCTCCTTTTCTCTTTTGTCATTTACTGTTCAGGTTCTGATCACACAGAGATCAGATCAAGATTACAGCTCCCTTAGTACACACACACACACACACACACACACACTCTCTCTCAATTTTACAGGTATTGTGCTTCTTTCAAATATGTGTTGCAATACAAACCACCAAAAAGTCCAAAGGACAAGAGGTGTAATTGTGAGTGCTACTTGACAGCCATAACCACTGACCCAGAGTGCTTCCTCACCACCTCTGACTGGGCAGAGGAATGACCGTAAATTCACCTGGAATGAAAAAGTGGTTTAAAACCTTTTGATTTTTATCAGTTGAAACCCGATATAAAGGAACTTCCTGGGACTCCTCTCTAAACCACCACTAAGATTGTTTTTCTGACAAGAAAAGTTGATTGTTGTTACCAGGGACTGTATGTGGAAGGAAGATAATCAAATTTTTAGGCCCTGATTGTGTGTCAAATTCCAAACCTGCCCTCCCTTGGCTAGTCTTGTCTACCCAAGGGAGTTCACAATCTCCTTGGGTAGACAAGACTACAGACAAATTTGAACAATTTTGAGTACAAGACAGCACAGGTTTAAAAAAGTCCTGCACCACATGGTTTAGAAAATACTACCTGCAAAAAGACTTTTGAGAAGGGAGAGATTAAGAAAGGCAGAGCGAGGCTTTCCTGAGGCTCAGTGAGTAAGTCTTGAGTGACGATGGCATTTGAGGGGGTAAGGGGAGGTTAGGCACTAAGCAAGAAAGACTATTGTTTAACTGAGACTGGTCCGACCAGAGTAGAAGGGTTGGAGTGGAGAGCACAGAAGTGTAAAGGAGAAATCAGGACCTCTCCTGTCAGTCATGGACACTGGTGCAGGCCGAGGGCACCCGAATCCTCACGTGCCACGGAAATAGGCAGTTGTACAGATTTCCTCAGGAAAACATTGAAAGCAAAAACTGTGATCACACCCAACCCTTTCCTCTGTGCCCTGCCCAATCTCTTCCACGTCCCCAAAAGGAAGAGAGCAGTATGTCAAAGTCGTTTGTTTATTCATTCATTCAGCTAACATTTCTCTCTCCCAAAGGGTCTTTGTTTCCCGCAAGGGAAGGACTCTTGCCTTTCCGGCAGCACCAAGTATTCCACAGCGAAGGGGCGCCCTAGTAACCGTGCTCAGCAAGACCACATCGCCACCGAAGGAAAGGGCCAGGCCCAGGAGAAAGCATCTCAGACGGGCATTCCAACGAAGGTAGCGCCTTTGTAAATGCAGGGAAAGGGAGGCGAAGAGGGAAAGAAGAGCTTTCAAATTGGGGGTGGGGATGGTGGAATGAGTGCGATGTGTCGGCAAAGGGAAAACTGGGGACTCCTAAACGGCCTCCGGAGAGCCGGACCCCCAATCGGGCCTTCCTTTCAAGGAGTCTGGCTTGCTGGTCCGAACGTAACTTTTTCCCTAGTAGGGTTTTCCATGCGTACAGAAAGGCTATCCCCAAACGGAGCTGCCAAACGACCTAATCAGGCTAGTTCTGAAGAGTGAAAGCAGGTCTAGGTGGAAAAGAAAGAACGAGAACAGAAACCACCAGGACAACGTTGCTGCCTTGGCCCAAGTTTGCGAGAGAAAACCCTAATGTAAATCACAAAAATAAGTCAGGAAAGGGTTTGGTGGGCGGGATGTGTCCCCAAAAAGCCTTGATGTGTTCCCCAAAAGCAGAGACTGCTGGTGACTGGCACCGAAGGGAACTGCAAAGAGACGGCTCCTCACTATAACCCGCCGCTGGCAAAAGCTGCTCCAGAGCCTTGCGACGCCGCCGCCCCGGAGCGCCTTTCCCGCACCGCCTTCCCCGCACCGCCGCTCGCACCCCGACCACGCGTTCCCGAACACTCGCGCCTTTTCCTTGACACGGCGGACCTCGGGGGATTGGGGCGGCAATTTGCCATTTCCTCTTAAAATTTTGTTCTGTCTATTGTGGGATTTTTTGGGTTTTTTGCTTGTTTCTTACAATTTTTGTTTGACTGAAACAACCCCATTGAAGACGTTTGCGTGAGGTTTGCGGGGCACAGGAGCGGAGACCACCGAGGTAAGGCGCGCGGGGGGCGTCTGTGCAGAGGGCGCGGGGCCGGACCGGAGTGGGGGAGGGGCCGCGGCGGGAAGGCCACCGAGGGGCCGTTTCCTCCTGTGGCGGGCGTTTTCGGTTGTCGGGGCCCGCCTTCGACCCCGGCCCGCCGTACGTGGGTGACAGCCCCGCGGGGCTGGCCGGGGAGGGGACACGGAGCCGCATCTTCCCGTTAGGGGGAGGGGAGCCAGCCCGGCCCACGGCTCCGCTGCGGCAAGTCTTGTGACTGACTTGCTTTAATAAAAAAATTAAGTCCAGGGGCTAGGAATCTGGAGGTGGTGGAGGTGGCTTAGGCTTATATTAAAACAGAGGCCAGGATTGGGAAGAGGGGCCGGGAACGTTTGACAATCGACGATCGATATTGCATCAGTTTCCTTTCCGGGCATAGGAGGGGCCGGCTGGCGAAGCACTGGCGGGCCAAATGCCTGTGGACGGGTGTGCTCGAGGGCACCGGCGTGCGCGGGTAAACAAACCCTCCTCGGCGCCTCCGCGCCCGAGGCCAGGCGTTCGCCCCTTCTGGGCTGGGGAGGGATATGTCAGCCCTTTCCGCTTCCTTCAGGAGGAATGCTATCTGCCGCAGAGGCTTTTTCCCCTCTGGGGGCGCCGGGCAGTGAAGGACGGATTCCGCGACACTGCTGTTCCGAATGCTAGAGCGAGCTGTGTGCCTAGGCTGCGTAGACACTAGCCAGTGCCTGGGCGGGATGTGTGTCCTGCGTGCTAGTGCACGAGCACAGCGGCTGGGGAAAAGCAAAACAGACCCCCCCCCCGACCCCCTCCGCTCCGACTCAGGATAATGGAGAGGGTGAAACTCTGAAATCCGCTGGAGAAGGGGCCGCGGCGGCGCAGCGCCGCGATGGGATCATCTTTGTTCTCGGCGGCTCCGCCGTCTGTACTTTTCCGCCCCTCGGCGCGCCCCCGCCCCTCGCGCTCGGCTGGTACTTTTCCACTCCCTGGCCGGGGATGAATCAGCCGCGCTGCGACTCCCGGCGGCGTCACGTGACCGCGGCGGGCGGGCGGGCGCTGCAGTCCTGACGCCGCCTCTACCTTCACAGGCAGCCGCGCGGGCCGGTGTACCGCCAAGGACAAAAGGAGCCCAGAGCTGCTCGCCGCACCCGATTCCTGCTGGTGCTCAGTATGAAGAAAACCGAAATGGGAAGGTTCAGTATTTCCCCGGATGAGGACAGCAGCAGCTACAGTTCCAACAGCGACTTCAACTACTCCTACCCCACCAAGCAAGCTGCTCTGAAAAGGTGGGAGAAGTTGTGCACTTTTAAAAAAAAAAAAGTTGGGGCAGGTCGTTGGGACAGAGTACCTAGAACTCTGCTTCTGTTGTTTAATTTACTGTAACATTGGGAAAGAGTGCGTGATCTCCGAATGAGTATGCGGTTGTCTTATTAGAGTGACAGTATCTCGTGTGAAAGTTGACTCCTGGTTAATATTTGTACATTTACCTAATGTTGTTGTGACAAGTACGGGGGGGGGCTACTTTATATTAAAGCAATCTGATGTATTATCGTCTATATATTTCTTAGTCCAATTTACAATTATATATGCATATGTTTTTTACAGCCACTATGCAGATGTAGATCCTGAAAACCAGAACTTTTTACTTGAATCGAATTTGGGGAAGAAGAAATATGAAACAGACTTTGTAAGTCAAAAATAATTGTTTGTTTGTATGTGGCTTTATGGAGTAAAAGAATAGTATTACTTTTAGATGTCAAATCTAACTTGCCCAAAGCTGGTTTTCTCCTTTTAATTATTATATGTTTGGTTATCGTTTTCCCTCTATGTAGCATCCAGGTACTACTTCCTTTGGAATGTCAGTATTTAATCTGAGCAATGCGATTGTGGGCAGTGGAATCCTTGGGCTTTCTTATGCCATGGCTAATACTGGAATTGCTCTTTTTATGTAAGTATGTGTAAGTAGTGAGTCTGCCAAGCAGGGCAGTTAATATGACAGTAAAACATATATTTTGGCTCCAGAACTGAGTTTACAGTTGAAGTAGTCGACTTAAAAGTAGAAATTCTTTGCTTAAAATTAAAAGTGTAAGGAACTTCAATTCTCTTCATTCTACTACAAGTAGAAAAAAATAGGACAACTCTTAAAACAGACAAATAAAGCCAGAAGTCTTTTAAGTCAATGGGAATAAAGTTGTAGCAGATGTTGGATATTAAAAAAAAGAATTATTGATGAATCCAGAGTAGCTACAAGTTTTGTTCTGGCAAAATCAGAAGCCAAAAATATTAATAAGCATAGTGTCTTTAAATTAGTTTGGTAAATTGACAAAGTCCTGTGACCCCTTACATGCATAAGAAAAAGAATTCTTCTAAATTATAAGGTGTGGTGGTATTTACCTGGCCTGGAACATGTTTGTTTTCAGACAAGTGAGTCATAATTTTCTTGATGCTGAAAAGCAGTACATGTGTTTTTTTTTAATGTTTGTTTTTTCCAGCTGCTTGATTGCCACATGCTGTGGCAAAAAAATATTTTAATAAGTACCTTCTTTTAAATGCTTTTCCCCCTAATTGCCCAGATAGAATTAGTTACTCCTGTGCTTTCCAGCATAAATAACTGGGTAGAATTTTGGAAGTACAGAAGACTTTGGAGCAGTGGTTCTTAACCATTTGGGGGTTATTGACCCTTGGAGAATATGGTGGAAAAAATATGGACCTTATTTCCAGAAAAAAGCACAAAACAAAAATACATGCAAGTTTAAACATGTGTTTTTCAATGATGTTTGTCATAGCTGTTAAGTTTAAGTACATATGGACTCTTGGTGAAGGCAATTTCTGTGGAGGATGTGTGACTTAATACCTTTTTTGTACAGATGAGGAAACCACACATGCATAGCATGGAATAGCTGCTTTGTTTTAGTTAGCTGACTGGTGCCTTCTACTCAAGTTATTTTCTCCAGCATGATAGAATGTGCATGAAAAGAAAAGCAGACCTTTGCAAAGTTCTGCTTTGTGAAATTCCACACCAATGTTAAGCCTGGCTTTGAGTACTAGAAGGATTCAGTCTGGCTTGCTTCGTTAGAATGAGGCTTTTTGAGACCTCTTATTAAGCTGAAGGTCCAGGAATTTAAATAGAAAAGACCAGAATTTCAAAGTTTTTAGTGGGGAACTGGAATGGCATCACTGTTAAGTATTTGAAACCCTTCCTAGCTCTTGGTATAAAGACTGTAGGCAATTTTAAAATGTTGCCACTGTGGTTATAGTGCAGAATTTAAATGAGAAAATGGCACTTCCGTTTCATTAGTAAAAGCAAAATATTGATGATATCCTTGCACTTTTGGAATTACTTGTACTTTAATAGGTGATTATTTGTTTGATTAACTGTTTCAGTAGATGGCTAAATAATAATGAGGATTGTTACAGTGAGTTTTTTCATCAGTACTTCCATTATACTTAGAAATGTAGAGGTAAATGGTCCAAAAGCTGCATGGATGTCATGGTCTGCTCAAACAACTCTGTAGGTAACCTTACATAGAATTAATCTTGAGGTTGAAAGTGAACTCAAAGATTATGAAGTTCTTTTCTCCCACATTATCATTTTAGTGTAAGACATGGGAGGACTTAATTGTTTTTAATTAAATCAACAGTTTCTCCAGCTAGAAGTGAGGTTCGTGATGTCCCCTCAGATTAGACCCCTTAAGACTTCTGGCATTAGAAAGTAGCTTTAATGCCACCTCCTGCATTTAATAGACATCAGTTTGTTTACCAGCACCTTACATGGTTCTGTGTACAGTTTGTTCGTACAGAGTCAAAAACCATGTGACTCTCGTTTGCAGTGTTTTTTATGTGTTTCTTTGATTTCTTTATTCCTTTTTTAAAAAAAATCCCTATTTTTCTTGACTTACCTGGGTAGAAGGAAAGTGAAGCTGGAAGGAGAGAGAATCCATACCCTAAAGGAAAACCAAGTGACATTACGGTCCCTTTGGTCCTTCTCTGTTCTCTCTGTTCTTTTTTTTTTTTCCCCAATCCAAGTGCAAGGTTTAAGGAAGAAAACAGTCAGTCTTATAGGCTGCTTGTTCTAGCACAGGCATCGTTTAACTTTGTGACAATACTGAGCCTGTATTCTTTACTCTGGGGTGCAGCGTAAGTAGTTGCTTCTCTGATTTGTACTGAGTTGTTACTAAAGATTGTAGTGCCTGACACTTAAACTGTTAGTAGCATTTCCCCCTTCCCATTCCTCTCCTTATCTATACAGCTCATGTGGTCTCAAGACTTTTCCTGAACCTATCTCAAGTGAATTTCATAATAACCTTCTGTGGGCAGGGTTTAGTGGCAGATAGTGTCGACATTTTACAGTTGAAGGGAACCATGAAGATGCAAGTGGCAAGCATACATTTGATTATTATGGTGCCAGAATCAAAATACAACCACCACTCTCATAACTCCCCCACTGGGAAGTTGGGCTTTCTAGTGTCTCCTGCTATGTTTGGCTCAGTGGAGCATCCTTGCTCTTGACCAATACCATAGAAACTATCACCTGAGGCATGGTGCAAGTTTTTAGTGCCGGGTGAGGGACAATGTTGACACTCCAGGTAGCAGGAGAGGGAACACCGGTTCTTGAGTGCATTTTGGCACAAAAAGGACAAATTCCATATCTAATGTTGTTTAACCAACTAAAAAGAGTTGTCTTTAAATATAGCCATTCTTGGTTATAACCCTGTGTCTTTTCCTTTTCTCATCAGAATTCTGTTGACATTTGTGTCAATATTTTCCCTGTATTCTGTTCATCTCCTTTTGAAGACTGCCAATGAAGGAGGTATGGTAGCATTCTTGACTCTTCTAAAACAATGTGTACCTATCATGATTTTCTCCTTTTATAAAGTACCTGCTTCATGCTTCTGTGTTCTTAAATTGTAGGGTCTTTATTATATGAACAGCTGGGATATAAGGCATTTGGATTGGTTGGAAAGCTTGCAGCTTCTGGATCAATTACAATGCAGAACATTGGAGGTAAGAGGGTTTTTTTTTTTTTTTACAGGTGATTTGGGTAGGCTTTTTGCTCATTGTGTAGCAGAGTAGAGACATGTGAGTTTTAGTGTCACATGCCACATTTTGCACTTGTAATGGTATAATTTTGTTTTCCTCCAGCTATGTCAAGCTACCTCTTCATAGTGAAATATGAGTTACCTTTGGTGATCCAGGCATTAATGAACATTGAAGATACAACTGGGTAGGTGCTAAGTAAGGTTACTCATAAGAAACAATTATAGTCTAAAATGGTTAGATACATTTTATTGAAGTTGGATACAGAATGATTATCAATAAATTTTCCATAAATGTTTCTGTTGAAACTGACCAAGAAGTCCCCTATAAACTGATTTAAACTTCTGAGAATGAAAGGCAAAAAACAGTGGCTAGCCCTATAACACTGTATATCTGATTTCTAATCTGTGTGCATAAACAGATTTTCTAGAATTTGCTTTCTTCTCTCTTCATATTCACACTTAAGAAGTTACAGCTATTGAACATATACCCCAACCTAAGTTAGGACTGAAAAAAAATTTTTTTTTTCCTTTTTGTCTTTTTTTACTGACCGGTGACGGGATCGCAACCCTCGGTGTCGCACCCGTACCAGGGACCGGCAACAGGATCGCAAACCCTCGGTGTTGCGCCCGCACCGCACTCAGCCAGTGAGCGGGAACCGGTCTCCACACGGGATCCGAACCCTCGGCGGGAGCGCCACCGCGCTCCCAAGTGGTGCACTATCCATTGTGCCACCGGGCCGGCCCAGGACTGAAAATTTGAATTACATTGAAAATCAATCACTGTCAGACTTTTATACGTTTGAAATTCTTAAAGCTTTATCTGTTTAATGCAGGCTACCAGAAAATATAGAAACTTTATTCTTCTAGCAAAGTTATTCATCCCAGTGGACTAAGAGGTTTTTTCCTAAAGTAAACACGGGGAGGGATGATTTATTACATGACCTTCATGCAGCTCATGACCTCAAAATAGGGAGTTGTGGCTATCTCTGGTGTGGCTTTAGGAATTTAGTTTAATAAGCTGATCTTTAAATATTATTTTTCTGTGGGGTCCTTAAAGCTAAAGTGAGTGAATTGGAATTCACAGTTAGAATAAGTTCAGAAGGGATCTCTTGGATATTTTCGGAGTCAAGGTGGGTCAAGGTGTCATACATACTCTGACAACCTGGAATAAGTCCTGGTTTGGGGATTGAGTTTTGTATTTTTTTGATTCTGCTCATGCATTTTATCTAAGTATAAAAACATTTCCTTGTTGAAATGGTTAATAAGTTTTGCTAACAAATGCCTGGGGAAAAAAAACACCTTGTTTTAAAATTTCTTTATTTCCAGCATTAGAAATCACAAGCTTAAAGGTATAACAAAGTTGGTGTACAATTTTTCTAAAAGTACTTAAAGATAAGATTACTGGCTTAACAAAGCAGCTTTGTGTTCCCTGTTTTAGTATCAAGCCTTTAAGAAGCATTTTATGTTATGAATCAGCTGGCAGTCTTCCCAGAGCAAACAGTTGGACAGTAGTTACACTGTTCCGTACACCATTTCTAAGTTGAGTGAATATTCATCTAGCACACAAAGTTAAAAAGTTATTCTTGTCTTGAATAAGAGATGCTTTTTCCAAACCTTTTTTTTTAATGGTATTTCTATAAAATGAGTCCTGTTAGAAGATATGTATATTATTCTGAGGATATTTGTGATTGGTGTTGACCTTATTTCTCTCTAATTTAGATTGTGGTATCTGAACGGTGACTATTTGGTTCTCCTGGTGTCATTGGTGGTCATTTTTCCTTTGTCGCTGCTGAAAAATTTAGGTGAGCAAACCTGTCTCTAAAGAGAACCTCTTGCCAGCTAGTTAGCTTTCTCTTAGAAATTAATGAGAGCTCAAAAGCCCTAAAATCATTGGGAGTTGCAGCGTGCAAGACCTGCAGTTCCTTCAAAATCCTAGCAGGATATGATAGCTACCAAGGGGCCACAATATTTTGTGGACATTTATAATATCTTGTGCTTTGTAAGTAATACAAAATGGTGGATTTTTTCCATTATTATTTTTGTTGTGATGAGTATAATTTTGTATCAGTATATAAGAATTAGAAACTTAATACTGTATGCACACTTTAGTGCCTAAAGTCTTCACAACAGAATCGAGTTATTCAGTGGAGAAAATACAGTTGTTCTAAACTCATTTCATTAAACTAATAATGATTTTACTTTTCCCCTCTTGTAGGATATTTGGGATATACCAGTGGCCTTTCCTTATTGTGTATGATATTCTTTCTGATTGTGGTAGGTATAATTTTTCTTTAGAAAATATTTTTCATAAGCCCTGTCACATTACTCAGTCTAACAAGTGCAAATAATATATTTTCAGGTGATTTGCAAGAAATTTCAGATTCCTTGTCCTGTGGAAGTGGCTTTGATAATTAATGAAACAGTAAACAGCACCTTAACACAACCAACAGCTTTTGCTTCTGCTGGGGAATTTAACATGACTGATGGTCACTCTTGCACGCCACGTTACTTTATCTTCAACTCACAGGTAACTAAATATAAACATAATGTTTACTTTCTCAAAGGAAGATTTTAGGGAAGAAAAGAGAGAAACTGTTCACTGGAAATTGAAAAATAACTCATGGTAAAGGGAGGAGGCATAATAGATGCTTTTTAGAATATGTGTGATTAGCTAGTGATTGAGGAATGTAAAGAAAGTGTTAGTTTATATCTTAAAATAGATTGAGAAATGAAATAATCATATGGTGTCAATAATTGACATATTCAGAAGTTAGGATATTGATCACACTTGAACAGATTAGAAGAATGAAAGCTAATTATGCAAAGAAACTATTTTAGACTGATTATAAGATTAATTTTAAAAACTACAAGCTGTAGAATTGTGACACTTGAGTTAGTTGCATCAGGATATTAAGTAGATTTTTACTACAGATTAGAAGAATGAAAGCTAATTATGCAAAGAAACTATTTTAGACTGATTATAAGATTAGTTTTAAAAACTACAAGCTGTAGAATTGTGACACTTGAGTTAGTTGCATCAGGATATTAAGTAGATTTTTACTTTTTTTTTTCCAGACTGTGTATGCTGTGCCAATTCTGACCTTTTCATTTGTCTGTCATCCTGCTGTTCTTCCCATCTATGAAGAGTTAAAAGGGTGAGTACTTTGTTTTTATATAAATTTATTGGGAAAATTTTAGACTACTGCTATAACTAGTGCTAAAAAATATATTTGCATTTTCTTTTGAATTTACATAGCCGCAGCCGTAGAAGAATGATGAATGTGTCCAAGATTTCATTTTTTGCTATGTTTCTCATGTATCTGCTGGCTGCCCTCTTTGGATACCTGACATTTTACGGTAAATAATGCCTAGTTTACCAAAAAACAAAAAACAAAAAAAAAAAAACTTATTGAAATGAAACTGATGCTTTTTTGTGTATAGTTCCATCACTTTAAAAATACAGTCTGTTGTGGTATATTTTATATTTTGTGATGAGAAATTGAATTTAGACCTTAGAATTTCCTGTACAGTATTAGTAATTTCTAAATCCACACTTCAAAACATACCATTAATCATTTGGTGGCATGTTTGTATGATGTGCTTGCCTCTGAATTCATTCTGCCTGTCTCTTCTCCTGTTACCTTCAAACTGTATAAAACACACACTCAGTATAAGCCAAACTGTGGGATTTAGCTGTTTTAACTCCTGTTGTTTTTAATGGGGGTCATGTGGCTAAATCTCTTCTTGGTATTTAGAAAAATTTTCCTTCAATGTTATTTTAATTGCATTAACTATAATTCCAAATTAATCTTATTAGCCTCTTAGTTTGTAGTCTTTCTGTGAGTAGCTAATAACTTTGGTGCAAATTTCACTGTACATTAGATTTTCTTTTTGATCTCCAGGGAAAATGGCACACTTAAAGGTTTTGTGTTTTGTTTTGGGTTTTTTTTGTCTTTCTCCATAGAACACGTTGAGTCAGAATTGCTTCATACCTACTCTGCTGTCGTGGGAACTGATGTTCTTCTGCTCATTGTCCGTTTGGCTGTGTTAATGGCTGTCACCCTGACAGTACCAGTAGTTATTTTCCCAGTAAGTAATCTTACCTGCCCTGCTTTCAGTATGTATGAGTTTTTAAACATGTGAAGATTTGTGAGATTTTCATCTTCTGGGAATAGGGAGACACTACTAGAGCAATACCAAATTGGTGGTAGTTTTGAAGAGGATTTTTTAATACCTTGTAAGTTTTCAAAATATGGGGCATTTTTTAATAATTGAAGATATAGGATGATCTTTATGCGTTCAGATCTTTAGGAAACAGCAGCAGAGGAGGGGCCACAATTTTACTTTAGAAATAATTGCTGTTTTAGATACATTCCCTACTATTTGGGAATTCATTCATTAATTAAAGCTGGATTTTTGAAATTATTTATTTATTTATTTATTTGCAGATCCGGAGTTCCATAACTCACTTGTTGTGTGCAGCAAAAGATTTCAGTTGGTGGCGTCATGGTCTCATTACAGTGTCTATCTTGGGATTTACCAATTTGCTTGTCATCTTTGTCCCAACTATTAGGGATATCTTTGGTTTTATTGGTAAGTTTTAGAAAAAGTATGAAAGTTGATTCAAATACCAGGAATTTTATTAAAACATGAATAAGTGATTTATTGAATTCTCAAGAAATGGTAAATGTTCTTTTACAGGTGCATCCGCAGCTGCTATGTTGATTTTCATTCTTCCATCTGCCTTCTATATCAAGTTAGTGAAGAAAGAACCTATGAAATCTGTACAAAAGATTGGGGTGAGTGCAAGATTATGACTATGGATGCCATAGTAACCTTTTAATGTCAGAAATTCCCCCAGCTGATGTTAATTTTAGTCTCTTAGCTGTCATTTGTTGTAGTTTCACTTTTAAGTTTCTAGAAAACATTTCTGTAATGGTGTACTTTACAGATGGAAGATTGGAGAGTGGAGGGGAGGTGAAAGATAGTTTGCCATTTAATAAATACTTAAGTTCATTGCTAGAACGTTACTAGATACTTTAGAGGTAGGAATAGAAATAAAGAGCGAAGCAAAGATACCGACCCAACTTTTAATATTTGTTATACTGCCTACTGTGTGACAGGCACTTAAATGGGCATTGAGTATATAGAAAAGGAAAGAGTGGGGTGTTTAGTTGAATAAGACTGACCATCTTCAAAGCAAAGCTCTGGGGGGCCTTCTGTCTGTAGCGTTCACTATTAAGTACTTACTCTAAAGTACAACTGGTTACAAAGAGTATGATATGCTAACCACAAACAACATGGTTCTGATACCAGACTCTTGGTGGAGATATTTAGGAAACACTTCTTTTCCGTTGTTATTTTCCACTACCATTATGTTCTGATTAAGGTACTAGAATTGTTTATAAACCATTAATTTATCTTCTTTTACTCAAAATTACATAGTGGCAGTAATTGAAGGGAGTAGGATTATAAGTAAACTTACTAATGGTCTCTGAGAAAGACCTCTGGCATGGTCTCAGGCTGCATTTTAGCATAACTTGGATTTGATTTCGTGACTTAGTTTTTACTCTGAAACCCAGTTTTTACTCAAAAACACCCAGTCCAGCTCTATATGAAGCAGTTTTATTCAGAAAGGAAATTCCCTTTTCATTTAAGAGAAAGGAATGAAAAAGTGTGAAAGTTCTGAAGACTTAAAAAGAGTACAGTTCTTTTGAACTATAGATAACTCCTTGGTCACTTAAAGTGGTTTCTATTTAGCAAGGTAAAACTATAATTCTGTAGAATATTATAGAATAAATGTAACTTTAGTAATTATAAGTCCCATTTGAAAAGAAAGAGAAATGTTTAGCATATATTTTTTTTGTTTGCTTATCAGTTTTCTCTGTGTGCTCATTGCAGGCTATGTTCTTCCTGTTAAGTGGGATAGTGGTGATGACCGGAAGCATGGCTTTGATTGTTTTGGATTGGGTACACAATGCCCCTGGAGGTGGCCATTAACTGGCACCACTCAAACTCCAATAGTCCATCTGATGCCAGTGTTGAGTCAACTCTCAATGACTATGAAATTTCACCTACACTTCCTTTGAAGTGCAGATTCCTCGCTGGTTCTTCTGAGTGCAGAATAAGTGAACTCTTTTTTTTTTTTTTTTTTTTTTAAAGAAACTTATCTGTATGTTAGAAATGGATATGACAACAAAACCACGAGTCTCGGGTTGAGGGAAGTGACGATTTTATTCCATTCCAGAGAATGGACGAACTCTTAACTTTTATCAGGCCACATGTTTGGCTGTGTCATTGTTTAACTTGGATATTTTATGATTTTACTTGAATGTGCCTAATGGAACCATTCGATGTGAGAAACAATTCTTAATTTACAGCAAAGTATTGAAATAACCATTGAGAAAAACACAGTTATTTTTTGTACCAAAAATAATTAAAGACCTCAGAAGCAGCACTATTTTACTTTTAAGAAATACTTTTTTTTAACTTTATCCAGAAATGGTTGTTAATAAATTCCATAAAATAATTTCATTGATATTTAAAAATGAATATTAATATTACAAAATAATTTGCCTTTTGTAGGCATAAAAAGCCAAATACTTTTTTACCCAAAATAATTTTTAGAGAAAATGATGTAATGAAAAATTGTACCGTGAATTAGCATAGTTTTTTCCATTTCAACTTCAACATTACTTAAAGGATAATTGATTATTACTATAACAAATCAGATGAACTCTGTTACTTTTCTTCTCTGTTCCCAAATAATTTGGTTCATTCAGACTGAAATATTTATGTTTCAACCTATTAGATTGGAAGATAATGCAGATGTTTCTGTGGGAAATAAAATAACTAATTTTGAGGTACCAAATAGTGCAATTGGGTAAAACAGGGTTTATTCAGTTGCATCGGTCTCCAGAGTTGTATTGACAGCTCTGGGTCTTTTTTTGGGCCAGCCCTTTTTTGAGATTGCTTCCAGCAGTTGAAAATGGGCATTTGATGGCAACAGGCCAAAACTATTTTATCCAGAGAGTACAACTTTTCAAAATGCTCATCTACTGGAAGTGTGAATTACTTGACAATTATATGGCTTAGTTGTGTTCATGTTTTGTCTACAATAGAGGTCTAATCCACAGGTTACGCCGATATTTGGTATAATACAAGTTCTGTTCATATAGGCCACTGGGTTTCTCATGCAGTAAGCTTTTAAACTCATTTGCACTGGATTGTCATCTCATTCTTGTACAATGTAGAATTATTTGTTTACATCCAACAAATGGTTAGCTAGGAACAACAGTGCAACCTGAGTGTAAGTAGTTGTTTTGGTCCAACTGCATGTTCATCCTTCCATTTCAATCCCAGTTAGGAGTGAAAACATTACTTTGAAACTTGGCTTTAAGAGCACATTTATTGTACGTTACAGTGTATGGTGAATATATTATTAAATAATGTGGTACTTTGCTCATCAGGCATAATGTCTAAAATCTAATATACATAATTCCATTAAGTGGTTGAGGGAAGCAAATAATGGAATCATCAATTAGTCATCTGGCTGTAAGGTTTTCTCTTGAACTAAACATTTTTAGTTTTGGGCAAGGACCAGAAATGTGGCAGACATGGTTTATGTTACGCATTCTTGTATTATATGTCACTAAATTTACAGACAAGATACGTTGTAACTAAAGACCTTTATGGAACTGGAAGACGTCTTGTAGTGCTACATTGGGTGAAACCAATGGTCCGTTTTTATTTGTTTCTACGAAGATAAAATAATTGAGGACCATCTAGAAATTAAACGGCAGTGAGAAGATGAATTCTACAGCACTGCTTTCATTTAATTGGACATGGGCACTCCATTCGAATCCAGAACCTCACCTCTAGTTCAGACCAAGAATTGGCACTTCCACTTGAGTTCCTGGAAAGAGTTGCTGATTTTGTATCTAAGACCTGCTGGGGAACAACGCCAAATAAAAAGTTGTTTTCTACAATTTTTACATCCTTTCATATGGGAGGAAATAGCAATGGCACCAAGGAAGGAATGGAAAAAAAGAATCCTTCTCATAGCAAATCAATGTGGGGAGGCTCCTCCAATCCTCTTTGGCTGTTTGAGGTTCAAAATCAACTGCCTTGGGTAAATTTCAATGCATGATTTTCTTGGAGCTATCTTATCTGCCTTGAGGTTCCTAAATGGTGAATTCCCATTAATGAGCAGTCTTCAGTATTAAAACCACTGTCTTGTCACTTCATTTTGCATTACTGTCTTCCGTGGATGTTTCAGTTATAACTGTAATGTTATTTATAGAACAACATTAATCCATTAAAGCTAACCTATTTTTCAATATTTATGATAATCTATGTACATACATTGTCTGTTCATATGTATTTGTAAATAGGTTGTATATACTGTCAGGTTTGGGTTTGGGGTTCAAGTGTATATATTCCTGTAACTTTCTTAACTGCATTTTGAATTCACATTATGTATCTATAAAAATTGTACCCAATAGTACCTGTACAGAATTCGATATTTAAAAATTGGCAAATTGTGTACAAATACTGAAGAAACACTTGTTTAAATTGTATTTGCAATAACTGGTTGGGTATCAAATTTTTTTCATGAAAACTTGGTATAAGTTCAGATCTCTTATTTAAATTTTAAGGTCTAAATTTTCAAAATGCAGTAGTAATCAAAATGTGATCTATGTAATGAAATCAAATGTGATCCAGTGTCATGAAAGAACTTTGAAAACCTGAATGTGTTTAACTTTGTGTATATAGTGTAAATATCCCCACTGTACTGTTAGAGGCCAACAATTCCAGTATGGTTTGTTGGCAAAGAGTGCTACACCGTTTCAATGAAACTATGTACGTTTGTGTTAACTGAACTAAATAAATACATGCTTAATCCTGAGTAGCGGTGTTTCCTTTGAGGTAATGAGATAAGCATTGTCTTGTGTATTTTAAGTACAATGCCTAGCACTTAGTAGGTGTCCATATGTTAGTGATTATAATGATGAAGGAAAAAATTGACCAGAAAAAGTTTTTAAATTTAACTTCCTAAAGATTCTAAATTTACGAAGTGGAAAGGAATGAAGTCTTGTTGAGGATTTGGAGGGAAGTTGCTAAAAGTTACCTGAAGGACCCTGCCCTGCTGAAGGGACTAAATAGTCAAGTAGTGCATCAGAATTCGCTGGAGAGCTTCTTAAAAATGTAGCTTTCTGAAGCACTTGCCTAAATAGTCTGCTTAGCTCTGGCTGGAGTGCAGTCTAGTCCAGGATCTGATTTTGTGTTTTCAGAAAGCTACCCAGGTGATTCTGGTGCACAGTTACAATTGAGCACTGAAAAAGGGCTGGGGAAAAAGTCGGGTTAGTTCAGCTTCAATGTACATCATGTAACAGCATAGTTTACCTGAGTGACACTAGAAGTGAGAGTTACTAAGATACACAGGATAGATAAGTTAAGGCCTACTGGTAACCTTAGAAGGTTGGGGCTTGTAGCGTGAAATAACCAAAGCTGGGGAAAAAAAAAAAGATACCTCAGAACAGCAAGTGTGCTTGGGACTGGTTCCAAAGGCAGGAAACCTTACTGTGAGAAACTAATACCCAGTTACTAATTACAGTCAAATGAAAAGAATCCTTTGTGATTAGGAAATGCAGCAGAATTTGCAACAAATCTGAATTGAAGAAAAAGGACTTGTGGAATTTTCACAAGCTAACCGGACACCTACATGTATGTGCAACTAATGTAGCCATGGGAAAGAGGGTGGGATTATGTATCAGACCAATGGGTTCTAGCAAGCTGTACACTTTTTGATTATGCTTAAAAAAAAAAAAAGCCAAAACAATTTATTAATCTACAATTAGAAATATATTTGATGGGTAGGTCCACTCAAGATGAAAATATAGTACTCTAACCAGTTAGCCAGCTAATTCCAAGAGGTTTCCATTAAGCCTGAGGAATATTCTAGAAACGTTTCTAAATAATCAGCTGCTTGTCTTGACTTGAAAATACCCTTACCTGGAGAGTTGGTTTAGTTAAGTTCCTGGTAACAAAGAAAATCCATTTAAATTAGCTTAAGCAAAATTGGTAGATGGAGAAAACTTGTTAGAAGGAGATTGCCTCAGAATTAAACAGAAGTTAGAGAAACTTCTTCCAAAAGTAAAAAATGGGATTTGTTTCCAAGATCTCAATGACAGAAGTGTGTGTAATTTTACTACAGAGCTGTGCAATTAGATTCTGAACTTTCAATTTCTCAAGATAAACTAATTGGCCAGTAATGGATCAAGTATCCACCCTGATCTACTCAAATACTAGTATAGCAAATGGCTGCCAGGACCCACCCCCATGGTTTGGGAGAATAGTTTTCAGAGGAAGGGTGGGATGGTCCTGGCCAACGAATAGAGTCACCCACTGTCCCAGTTTTTGCACTGAAAGTCATGCATCCTGAGTCCCAGGCAAACTGTGTTGGTTGGTGATCCTAGCTAGGCAGGCACCCAAAAAACAGCCCCAAAATACCAATAAATTCATTTTCTTTAGATTTCCTTTTTCTTGACTTCCATACAGTACATCAACCTTCTTCTATGACTTTGCCCCAACTTAAAGGATTGTATCTTCTTCAAATCACTTTTTTTCTGATTTCCCTCACAAGAGTTAATAAGCTTCATAGGAGCAGACATCTGTTTTTCACTTATTTATACCCAACACTCACAACAGTGTCTAACAAACGGTACATAAGTATTCAATATAATTGTTGAATTAATAAATATGCCCTTTATTTTCTATAGTATAGTTGAAGTGAGGTTCGAACTTTTAAGCAAGAATTTACTAAATGCTTGCAAGATAAATACAGCACATACCATGAAATAGGATACTTTGCCTTAAAAGATGTAGTTTACTTATCTTCAACCAGAGGCCTACAACATTAGGCTTTCTTGCTTAGCCCATGATCTGCCTCCAAGGGGCAGAAACTATCTTTAAACTCTACCACATAAGTTATTTTGTGGCATTGAAATCCTTTTTTTCAAATCCTAGCCAGATCTGGTTGTCCCCACATACCGTATTGTGAGGAAAGAGTTAACACAGCAAATCTGGTTGCTTACTTCTTATGTTCTCAAGGGAACCGTGAGTAACTCTTGGCCAAATCTTGGGAATGTGGCCCTCGGAATGTTCTTTATGGTAGTGACTGATGATTTTGTTATATTCATCTGGAGCAATGGACCATGCTGTACTGGTTTATCAAGTTACTTTACATGAACACCAAGATTAATGATGTACACTTGGTTTTATTGTTGGGGTGGCCAAGGCTGGTTACATAGCAGAATATGCCTATGTGACTAGCTGACTCCCCTCACCACCCCCCTCCCCCCCTCACCTCCCCACCCCCC